TTTTAGGAAGTTTAACCTCTACACTCAATTTACAGTCAAAACAACTCCTTCCCTTCGCTTTTTCTTAATATCATACACACTTTCATATTTTCTGCTTCCTACAAAGGATTTCCAGTTGCTGTTCACTAACTCATGTCTACAACATATCTCTGAGATACGCCCTTATTTGTTAACACAGGGAAGCTAGTGCATAGTAAATCAGGATGTAACTTTCCATCCCACTAGATCCTCTGAACTAGTTTCTATGTAGATATTCATAAATTATTATCCTATTAATTCAACGTAAAAGTAGTTCAAAGTAACCCAATGTACTTTCAAAATGGAGCAGGCTGCTTTGCACAGACTATTATAACATTGCTGATCAGACCAGCAGAGACCAGTCACACAGGTGAGGGATTCAGCAGTGCTCCGGACGCATCACTTCAGATTGTGCCTGCTACGGGTTTAACCATGTGATTTTGGGAAACCCCTCTTGAGTTGCAAGAGGCCAAGCTGCTGGGTGATACTGGCAAGTGCCAGCAGAAGACACTAACAGTCCTTTTCTAGAGCATCAGCCTGGATGAGGCCTGGTAGAAGCACAGATCTGACCATACCATGCATGCTGCGACTCACCAGTAAGACTGTATGATCCCTGTCACAGCAAGGCAGCTGAAAGAGATCCAAACAGAGCCACCACACTGTCTGTAGTCTGACTTCACCCGTGTCTTCTATTTTTCCTCTAACAAAGGCAGAAGACAGAGAACTTATTTGTTTGGGTTTTTGTCTGACCATGTTTGACCATGCCAAAACTTGAATCAGTCATTTGACATTAGCATTGCAACCAAATACCAGGCACATACAGCAACTGTTGCTTGCTCTTTCCCCCTCAGGCTGGTACAACAGCTTTGAAATATGATATATTGGCCCAAAAGGGGAGTCAATAATCCCTTAACAATGGAGTAGGTCTGCTTGAAAAAAATGAGTTTAAGCAGCTCAATGAGACACTGCAACCTTTCTTATTGAAACCTTGACATTTGCCAATGCATAAGATCATATTTATGAGGCTTTTCAGCTTACCTAAGATGAGACATGACAAAGGGCAGAGATATCCAAGCTTTAGAGCCACAAGCTCTTCCAGATTATCTAGGTTTGACCAACTACTTTGTAGAGTTATTGCTACTTTGCTGACAAAATGCCTTGGTGACTAAGAACCACTTTCCTCATCATAGTCACAGTGTGGAAGAACTTCTGGTCCAGTGACTTTTACTTTAAAAGACAATTCTATTTACTGACACTTGACAAGTTTTTCACTAAAAAAAACCCAAAACATACATTTGAATCAGGTCAAAGACAGCTTTTATTACGCTTAGACTAGACCTGATAATAATCAACAGAAACAACTTCTGACATGCCACAGAGCAACAACCATTTGCCTTTTCAATTAATTATTCCCTCATTGCACATGTACAAGCCCCATTAATGGTAAAATAAGATAACTTGTGTGCACAGATAGGTGAATAAAAAAGGGGATGAATGGCCCCAATTTAGCCATGTCCTGCTGAGTATCCTTGACTCATCAATGCTTTACAAAAACAACTACTTCCAGCAACCTCTGCCATTTATGACATGAGGCAAAGCAAAAGAAAAAAATAAGAAATTTAACTTTTGATTTTTGCAAAACTTAAAGAGTTAGTTTCTGTAAACATCTGGGATGAACATGAAAAACTATCCCAAACCTCTCCACAGGCTGGGGGAAAGTGAGAGAAATACAAAGACATGTACTTCAATGTGTCCATTTTTTCTTCCTTGAATGTGTAATAAATGCTTATGCAAATATCAATGATCTTTAAAGAAGCAGCCAGCTTAAAATAGTGAAGGGCTGGGAAATTAAGCCACATGAAATCTAAACTGTTTAATAGGCAATTAATAGCTGAATCAGTATGCAACAAGATCTCTTATTGCATTAAAAAGTGCCAACTCTTGGTTGTATAAGTGACAGCTTAAAAGATGCCTTAATCAAGAAAGAAAAATTATTTATTGAACTTTTCAAATGTCAAATTAAGCTTCTTCACTAAATGTTCATTAACTGCCAAGAAAATTCTTATTAATTTTAAAGCACCATGAACGCACTCTCATGCAATGACCTTATTTGATGCAAGCTTCATTTCTTGCAAACCTATATTTCCCTTCCTCTGATGAAGCGCTATTAGCAAAGATCCTAGGACCTCTCTTATCAGATAAGATTTTAAGACACAGGAGAGATCCTATTCCTCTGCTCTGACCAAAATACTAACCTGAGTGTCACATTACCAGAGCCTTAAAGTCACACTACCTTCCAGTACGTTTCACCATGCTTCACATTACAGCGGTTTTTAGATGGCAACATCTTACACAAAATATTTGCTGACTCACCTCCACAATCTGCTGGTGACATAAACCACATAACACCCCAAACATACCATATACACACAGAGTAGATAGCAAATCAGAAGTTAAAAAGCAGCATATTGCATAAATGCTGGCTGCTCCCTTCCCCTTGTGGTTTCCGGCTCTGACTCTGTTTGTTGTTCTTGATGAGCTAGCAACTTGCCTGAGAATCTGCTTAATACATACAGCCCTTATTCCCCACAAGGGAACAGCCCACCTATATTTTTTTTTTTCTCCAAACACAGAATTTGCCAGGCTTTCTCCATGCCAAAACAACCTTGGAAAACTACCCTGATGCCAAACGACTGAAGGATATGTGCAGCCAAGATTCCTTTCTGCAGCTAGGAGTAGGAATTTACAACTTGGCCCCCTCTCATTAATGGGATTTTGCTGTCTTTTGTGTTAGTGGAATCATAGCCCCCCAAAAAATCCTCTTACTCATTCCTGCATAGTCATTAAGGCTTCCCTTGTGGACAGTGGTGAGAGAAATTAGGCTCAATTAGCAACCAGCAAGATGAAACTCCAGTGCACACTTTCAGATACAATAACAGCATTAAAAAAAAGGGAAAAACAAACAAACAAGGAAAACAACCCACAATGTCCCCCCACAAGATTGCTCCTACTGCACTCACCACAGCAGCCACTGCAAGTGTTAACTCGATGCACATACAAGTCTCCAGTGCAACTGTGTCCACTTTACCAGCTGCACCAGCTGTGCAAAGCAAACACAACGCTAGTGCTGCAACAGGCAAGTGCCTTCAGACTTTGTCTCCTAGGTGTTTTCCAGTATAACCTTAAAAGCTAAGAGCCCATAAAATCAGTATTGAAAAAAAAATCTGCACATATCACCCCCAGAAGGTCTGGTTTTAACAATGGATTCACATTTGCTTGGGGGAAGGTGGAGGGGGACACCTGACAGTAGACACAGCAAATCACCAAAGGTAAAGGAAAACGAAGAGTAAAGGATTCTTCATGAGAGAGAAAGTGCAGAGAAATTACTGATGCTACACATGAATAAGCAAGAGAGACTGGAAAGCTTTCAGCAACAAGGGTGGGTATTATATAACACTACTACCCAGCTAAACCACCAGGATCTCAGTCTTAGTGACTACTGGCAGCATATCTTTGGTGTTGCCCTGGCAGAGGATATAAATACAAGCTGCATCTGAAGCAAATCACTTTTGGAGCTGCTGTTACAGCACTGCTCCTGCTACTCACATAGTACAGCTGTCGCTACAGTAAAGCCTTAGACTACTATGTGGACCAGATCATATTATATCACATATATCTGGCGATATCACCCTAGAACTGTCATGTACCTTTACCATGCTCATTCAATTTACATCAAATAAAGCAAAAGCGAGTAATTGTTTTCAAAATATTAAGTTTCTGAAGTTTTCTTTCAAATATATTATTTTGTTTGGTGACTTGTCTGCCAATATAGTGCTAATAACTTGGATCACCCATGAATGCCAGACACTGAACCTCTGGGAGACAAGCTAGGAGCCTTCTCAACCTGGCGATAAAAACTTTTTTGCTGTTTCACCCACGTTTAGGGTAAAAAAACCAAACAAACAAAAAACCCACAAAACAAACAAAAAACCAAACAAGGAAACAAAAACAAACAAACAAAAAACTCAAAACAGAAACATACTAGATCTCAAGCCTTTTTTGATTGTTTTCACAAGATTCCCAATTTGAGATAAGTGGAGGAATTCTTATCAAGAATATTGATCTTGTGGCAGAGGAGGCAGCCATCTGCAAACACTTTTACTATTTTCTGACTTAGCAACCAGCTTCCACTCACAAGACCAAAGAATTCTTTGCCTCTTAACCTTGCAAATAATGGTTTGAATCCTAGGTGTACTGCAATTTAATCTCTGCATTTGCTAAACTGCTCCAGCAGTCTCATTATTGTATTAGCCACAGGTCATCCACATTCTCAGCTTTCATAAACAGAAGGCCAACACTTACTTTTCATCACTTAATGATGCAAGGCCTTCCTCTTAACGCAGGTAAAAAAAAGCTTGACAATACCTTGATAAAACAGGATTAACTTCTCCCTTACTGAGACCTTTTGTTTCAAAGCGAATCACCGTACTACCATGCCTATTTTATTCTGGTGCCGGCAGGGGGAAAAAAAAAAAAAAAAAAAAAGCACCCCTCTTTAAAGATAATTTATTTTAACCAAAAAAAATACTGTTCTGCAATGCTTTTAAGATAACTGTTGCAAACCCTATACGTTATTAAACCATTCTGGCTACGCTGCTGCTGCGCTGTTAACAAGTGGAGGTTACAGGTCGACACCCAACAGGTAGCTACACCTCCCGCATCTGGGCTGCGAGCCGACCCTGCCTCCCCGCTCTGCCCAGAGGACCCTCTCCTCGCCACGCCCGGCGACACCCGTGGTGGGGCGGCTGCTGGAGCCCCCGCCAGCCGGGGAACCAGTTCAAAGCCCCAAGTGGGGCAGAGAGCGAGGTTTTCCCCTCCTCCCGGCCCTCTCCAGCCCCTCCGCCCGGCCCAGAGGGCGCCGCCCCGGCGGCCGCAACGGGGAGAGAGGAGGGAGAAGGCGGCTGTGCCCCGCCGGCGTTTACCCTCCATCTCGCCGTCAAGGTGGGACCGGAGGCGAGGGGAGGCACCTCTCCCGGCGTGGCTCCCGCGCCGAGAGAAGCCGAGCCCGCAGCCTTCGCCCCGCACACCCGCAGCCGCCCGGCCGCTCCTCCAGGCCGCCTATTAATACCCTCGCCGCCGCTGGCCCGCCGCCATCCGCCTCCCCCGGCGGGGGCGGGCGACGGGGCACAGCCGGAGCGGTGCCGCCCGCAGGCAGCCTGGCTGCCCCCGAGGGCTGCGCTAAAGGCGGGGATGGTGGGTGGTTTAATGCCCGGGAGTGGCCTTTCTTGCGAACTCGGGGAGCTGTGGCTGTCGCTGCTTGGGACAAGAGTTTGTTTTGGTGCCTCTGAAGCCTGGCCCGGTGCCTCAAAACTGTGCCCGGGGCTGCGTGGTGCTCCCGGGGACAGGCAGTCGGCAGCCGGGCTGGTCCAGCCCAGTCCAGCCCGCTGCCATCCGCCTGGACGGGCACAGCATCCCGCCGAGGGCAGTTTTCACAGAATCAACTGAATGTTCTGGTTTGGAAGGGACCGACAGGGGTCATCGAGCCCAGCTCCTGGCTCTACTCAGGACCATCCCCAAGAGTCACACCATGTGTCTGAGAGTATGGTCCTAACGCTTCTTGAACTCTGTCAGGCTTGGTGCTGTGACCACTTCCCTGGGGAGCCTGTTCCTGTGCCCAACCACCCTCTGCGTGAAGAACCTTTTTCTAATATCCAACCTAAACCTCCCCTGGCACAGCTTCAGGTCATTCCCTCTGGTCCTGTCACTGCTCACCACAGAGAAGGGATCAGTGCCTGTCCCTCCACATTCCCTCACAAGAAAGTTGTAGACTGCATTCAGCACCCCCCCCCCCCAAGTCTACCCTTCTCTGAGCTGAATGGGGCTCTTGATGAGTTGTGGCTGACATCCCTGCTGCAGTTCATTCCAGGACACCAGTGCTACTCAATGGAACACAGGCCTTCTTAATTCTCATCCCTTTGTTTTCTCTTAATTACTATTTCTTAAAATACATTTCCTCCTAATTACTACCTCTTAAAAAAGTAAACAAGCTTTCTTTTGGACAAAATGCATTAGACTGTTGTCACAAAAAGGTCTGAAAGTGTCCAAAAATTAAGTACCAATGCCCCCAAAAGTTTGTCTTCCCTTAAAATTTGGCCCTGATTGAAATTTGACAAATATTTTCAAAAGTCAGTTAAATATTCGCACATGAATTAAATGTTTATTCACATGTAGTATCCTAATTTTCCTTGTTTGTGGGGAAACAAGCATAGCTCTTTTTTCATTTAACAGCAGACTTTACTTAGTCATTAAAGACTTCTATAATTGGAGAAGGTAATTTTGTAGCCCAGTAGATATCCTACACTGCAAGAGATAAGTATTAGAGCCTCATTGTGAGAGATAAAAGTGGTGGATGTCACCAAATTAAAAAGTTGGTAGTTGCCTGGGAACAAGCTGATTGTATTCATCATGGGGAAATGAAAGACAGCTGCAGTCAAAACTATGCATTTCTGATGCTTCAAGAGAGCTAATTTCCCCAAACTGAGAAAAACAGTAAAGGGAACCGACAAGGCAAAACGTGTTTAGTGTGAACATCAAAAGAGGAGCTCTCTTAAACCTTCTATTAAATGGCCAAAAGACTGTGACTTTGCATTCATGGAAGGCAGTAACTTTACCATAAAAACTCAAACGTGGCAGTTGGAAAGAAAATGGAAAACAAAGAGAAATTATATAAATTACAGTTACTATAAATTACAAGTTACAATAACAGAAATAAGTTCATAGGCAAGCAAAAAATCCATGGTTTAAGAGCCAAAGATAAAGAGGACATTTAAAGTGTGTTAGGAGCAAAAGGGAACCCAGGGATGGTACTGGTCCATTACTAAATGTGGTATTTTTTTGGTGTGGAAAGTGTAAATATGTTCAATAAGTACTTTTGCGCTACAAAAGGAACAAGTAGGTGGATGCCAAGGGAATTGTGAAGAACTGGTCCAGCCTGCTAGTTATCAAGAAAGATAGGAATCATGAGCACTCTTCTATAAGAAAACTTAGACAACTTTTAGTCCCAGATTCAGATATGTGGGCTCTTTCACCTGTGCTAGTAAACTTTGGAATACTTGTGAAATTCCAAAGGTGTGATAACCTTATACCAGTAGTGAAAAAGGGGCAAGTGCAATGAGAGAAAAATACAGGCCAACATAAACACTCTAAATAGTAATGGGAATAAAATTTAATTTTAAAATATTTCAAAGAAATAATAGAAATAATTCCAGTCTTTTTTAGGAAGACCAAGTCTAATCAAACTTCTCTAAATTAATTCTTTGATGAGATTGCTCATTTGGCTATGTGCATAGTGACAATTCAGACTTTTAAGAAAGTCTGGAAGAAAATGTAGTATCCCATGAGATCATTAAAGCAGATGCTAAATTGGCTAATTAGTAATGACTAATCAGCCTAAATGACTGATGACAAAAAGTAACGAACACTAAAGGGATTGTGTGTTTCTGTGAAAAAGGATCACATCTGAAAATGACACAAAAAGGAGAGAAATGGCAAAGGTATCGGCAGCCATGTGAAGCAGTCTGAATTGAACTGAGCGGCAAACTGGACCTTGTCAAACAAAATACATTTACTATAACTAAAGCATAATTACTACAATTAAATCCCAGTAAACAAGCTTGAAGGACTGTAGGTGTGTACTGAGAAGGAAATGACACTTGTTGGAAATGATTTTGGGGTTGTAGTCACCAACGCATCATAAACACTCTCTCTGACGCTGGCAAAAGGAAGGATTAACCTGCATCAGGGGAGTAGGAAGTAGGGGAGATAGTTTTATCCCTGGATATATCACTGATGAGACCAATCTTGTATACTGTGTTCCTCACCATGTTTTAAAAAGAACATCAAAAAATTGTAGAGGGCGCACATTAAGATCTGAAAATGTGACTTGAAAACTGAAGAAAAATTCTGCTAAGTGAGACTTAAAGAGCACAGTCTGTTTATCGTATCAAAAAGATTGACTTGATTACAGCACATAAGTACCTCTATGGAGGAAAAAAATACTGAATTCTGAAGGGCACTTTAATCTAGCAGAGAATGGCATAACAAGAACCTGTAGTAGAAACTAAAGTGAGACAAATTCAAATAAAGCACAACATTTTTCTTCTTAAGGGGACAGTGCATCACTGAAACAAGCTAACAAAGGCACCAAGAAATTTTTAATGGTTACATGTGCCCCAGCCAGGACAAGATGTCTTTCTGGAAGACGAGTTTTAGCCAAATGCAGGTTACTGCCTTTATACTGCTTGTACAGGTGTGAAATGTAATGACACAGGATACAGAGGAAATCAGACCATATGACTAAATAGTCCTTTGTGTCTTAATCTTTTCTTCTTAGACTAGGTATTTATAAGAAGGGGTGGCAGCTGATGAGCATCTGCTCAAGATGATATTCTTTGTCAACTGACTGCAATCAGTCTGACAAACATGACTACCCTGAGTGTGTAGGATTCTAAACGATCACAGTACATGAGACATTCTTGGCAAGCAGAGTATGAAATATGAAAGACAATCAACATTAGTCACCTATTTTCATTTGTCAGTGCACTAAGCTGACAGTATTTCAATTCCTCTGGGTCACAAAGGAGCTCAGAAGAGCTTAAGGAGAAGCTGAAGGAAAGGGCAGAAGAATGAATCTATTAAAAACACTGACCATCAGACTTAGGTAATGTGATAATTAAACCCAAGGTTTGAAATGCTGGCAGGCAAACCAGACAACTAATTCAATATGCAATATTACACTAGTAAATATACATCAGTTTTAAATATTTATGGATTTCTTGCCGAGCTTGTGCATAAGTGAATCAAGTTACCTCACCTGAAGCTATGATCCCCCATAATGAGCTGTGGTATGCAATGAGGGCTAAAAGGTTTGACATGACAAGTGATGCCTACCTCTCTGAAGGCAGCCAGGACCACACAACTGAATTGTGTTGCACATAAACTATTTAGAACTGCATTTAAACATTGATGAACTAACATTCTTCTTAAATTGTTGTATTTGCCAGGATGTGAACTTGCATCTTCTCTCCTCTGCTTCCAAAGCTGACATGGTAATGTTCACGTCAGTGGCTTTTCTGTTTTCATCATCCTTCCCTCTCCCTGAAGTTTATTCTGTGAAGACAAAGCCTCTTCAACAAGTAAGGAACCTTCTCTAAATTATGCAGAACCCTAATAGCTGTAAACAAATAGTTAGAACAGTAGAACGGTAGAAAAACAATACATTCCTTACTTAAGAGAGAAAGAATTATGTTGAAGAAAATTCATTTTAGAGATAGCATGTAAATTTTTTTTTTTTCAAATCCACTACCCCAAAATTCAAAACAAGGGTGTTTTCCAAAAAAACACTCAATTTTATTTAGGAGGCTCAAAAATTTTGACATACCTAATATTAGTATACAAACTCACCCTGGGGTTGGCTCTGACTTTTAGAAATTATTTAGAAAAATGCAGGCCCTTTAGATGGTCTTAAAGATGAAAGCTTTTAAAGTTACCTTATACTTTACAAATCTAACCTGGAACATACATAAAATAGAGTCTCGGGTCTTTTTCTGTATTTTCTCCAGGGGAAACTGTGGGCTCCATTTTTAGAATGACAAGGAATTCACAACTCCAAATGGTGTGGGGAAAGAAAGCTGCTTATGAAAATCAGACCCTGGAGCATTAATAATTGAAGTGTCATGGTTGCTTCCATTGGTATCAACATCACCTGTGGTACTCAAACATTAGTAGTCTGGTGTAGGTAACCAAGACAGGGAAGAAAAAGCATTGAGAGGTTGAAGGGCATTCATTACCTATTTGATGCCTAGAGGAATAATGTTGCTGTGCTACTAGAGACCCACCAAAGGTGAAGACTGATCATTCTATACAGTAAAGTGAAGCAGTAGTTAGGTTCTCAAGTTGCAGCATCTGATGCCTTCAAAGGAACAATATGGCATTGGCTGGCTGACAAAACACATTGTTCAGAACATCAAGGCTCAAAACAGCATAACATACTTAGTGAGGCTTGGGCCCTAGAGGCATCAGCAAA